TTATTATTATTATTATTATTATTATTATTAGGGATGCACGGATACCATTTTTCCCAGACCGAGTACTGATATGTTTCCTCAAGTACTTGCTGATACCAATTACTGATACCTTTTCTTAGTGTCATGTGAGAGTTTTTCTAAAACAATACAGACTTGTGATTTAGGATAGTGGTGGAGCGCCAGGGCCCGGTCCTAGCTGCAACCTCTGCGATCCTGGTTGTTCTGCCACTGACTCCAAGCTGTAGAGGGACCACAAATCTTAGCAATACATTGTAGCTGATGGTATTATTCTGCATTGCTGTATAGAGGACTACAAATCCAAGCAATACATTATACAGCCATGCAGAATAATACCATCAGCTATAGAGGACTACAAATCCCAGCAATACATTATACAGCCATGCAGAATAATACCATCAGCTATAGAGGACTACAAATCCCAGCAATACATTATACAGCCATGCAGAATAATACCATCCCATCAGCTATAGAGGACTACAAATCCCAGCAATACATTATACAGCAATGCAGAATAATATCATCAGCTATAGCAGACTACAAATCCCAGCAATACATTATATAGCAATGCAGAATAATGTCATCAGCTATAGAGGACTACAAATCCCAGCAATACATTATACAGCAAAGCAGAATAAAGCACAGGACAGAAAAAGCAGGCAATATTTCTAAAGTAGCTGTGGAGTTCAGGTGCAGTTTTGCTGCACAATACCTGTACATAGAGCACTCTCTGCTCCGGACTGCTGGCCTGATGTGGCGGGTCTCAGTAGGGGGAGATGTGTATCGGATTTTGCTATTAGAGCATTTACACGAGTGTGAGTACTTGTGCAAATGCTCGGTATCACCACCGGTATTGGTATCAGTGCATCACTAATTTTACATGAAGATATATCAATTTCTATTCTTGCTCCGATTGTTGTGCTAGTGACTTATCCCTTGCTGAGATCTCTATGCTGGCCTTTATAAGCAGATACACTCACTGAGGACAATCCTTATCAGATAGCTGAACTCACCAATACCTTTTCATCCACAAGAGTTGCTTTATTCTGTACATCAGACAACAGGATAACAGCATATGAATGGTTGCGGTATTATGCGGTCAAAAGATGAAACTTT